CAATATATCCTCTATAACTTTTAGTTAAAATGCCCAAGTGCTTTACAAATTAAATCAATAATATATATTCTTAATTAAATATAGGAGAGTAGTACTAAATATTTTTTTCATTAATAATATATCTTAAAATTTATATATAGCTTAAGTGTAAACAAATAACTCCAAGAAAATTTTAAAGTGGAAATCACCTGGTATTTTTTGAATCAAAGCCAGAGAGATTAGCCACTTCTGTCAAAGCACTCCTCCATCTCAAAACCTTCTCCGAGTCCTGCTGAAATCGTTCTTCATGCTTCATAAATGCTTCCCCCAACATTTCGATTTAATTCCTTACATCTGATGGATCCACATAATAGAAAATTAGCAATATGATCATATCTTGCAATTTCTTGCATTCAATGATCTTTACAAGTTCTTCAAGGCACATATAGATGAGGTGTACCCTTTTGAGATGATGATAACTGAAATCTTTGATTGTTCGATCACAGTCAAAAGGGCTTCTGAAATTTCGTCTCCTTGGTGAAGATCATTATCAATGAATGTTTCTAGGGGTGAGCACGGGTAGCGGGTAGAACCAAAAGCTGGAGGTAGAACTGGAACAAGAACCGGCACTATGCGGGTAGGTTCCGGTTCCAAAAAATTGGAACCGACACTGTGCGGTTCTGGCTCCGGTTCTGGTTCTTGTGTGTGGAGGAACCGAAACCAGAACTTGGAAAAAGAATATAAAAAGGGTACCCTGTTTGGAACCTGTAACGGGTACCCAGTTTGGAACCGACTTTGGAACCTGTTTGGAACTTGTTTTGGAATCTGGACTGCAATGAAATATTTGTGAAATGTGAATAATGGGGGGTTTCTATTAGTTTACATATAAAAAAAAAATTAAAATAGAAAAAATTAAATTTTTAGAATAACCTAATTAAATAAATATAATAATACAATTATACTTATTACATATAAATTACACCATATTAAAAACTTTAATATATTAATATTAAAGTTTTCATTAATTAAGTGAATAATTAGAATTATGATCCAATTAAAAGTGTTTTAAATTTTTAATGTTATTAAAAGAACTATTTTTGAATAAAATAGTATATTTGATTGATGAATAATATATTTAGTTATTTACTTCAATTATCAAGTTCTAAATATATCTATAGTAAATTAGCAATTAATTAATTATATATGATAGATTGATAAACATTAATAAATTTAATTACTAGTTAAATATCATACTTAATCAATTATAAGTTTATAACATTACATTATAGTTAAATGATTACTTAATTAATTATAATTTTATAACATTACTTAATTGATTTATAGTATAATTAATTATAGCATTACATTAATTGATTACTACTTAATTAATTGACTTATAAGTTATAATATTTAGTATATTACTTAATTAAATAATTAGAAATTTAATTAATTATAGCATTACATTATAGATTTATAGTATAATTACTTAGTCAATTATAACATTTTATTATAAACATTAATACAAACTTAATTAAATGATTAAAAATTTAATTAATTATAATATTACATTAAAAATTTATAGTATGATTACTTAATAGTTAATTCACTATAACATTACATTAGAGTATGATTATATAATTAATTATAACATTACATAATTAAATAATTACTTAATTGATTATGAGTTATGATATTATGTTTTAAACATTAGTAATTACTAATTTACTACATAAACATTAGCACAATACTTAATTAAATGATAAGAAATTTAATTAATTATAACATTACCTTATAAACATTTCATTATAAACATTAATTAAGCATTACATTATAGTTAAATAATTACTCAATTAAATTATAATATTATTATATTACATTATATATTATGATCACTTACTTAATTATAGCATTACATAGTTAAATGATTACATAATTACATAATTAGTTATGAATTTATAACATTACATTATAAACATTAGTAATTTACTATATTATTACATTACTTAATTAAACGATTAAAAATTTAATTAATTATAACATTACCTTATATATTTATAATATGATTACTTAATCAATTATAACATTCCATTATAAACATTAGTATATTAATCAAATGATTTGAAATTTAATTAATTATAATATTAAATTATAGATTTATAGTATGATTACTTAATTCATTATAACATTACATTATACTATTATAGTATGATCATATAATTAATATAACATTACATAATTAAAATATTAAATGATTACTTAATTGATTATGACATTATATTATAAACATTAGTAATTTACTAATTTACACAATACTTAATTAAATGATTAGAATTTTATTAATTATAACATTACATTATAAATTTATAGTATGATTACTTAATTAATTATAACATTCTATTATGAATAATATCACAATACTTATTAAATGATTAATAATTTAATTAATTATAATATTACATTATAATTAAATAGTATATTACTTAATTAATTATAACATTACAATTTACATTGTAGTATGATCATTTAATTAATTATAACATTACATAATTAAATGATTACCTAATTAATTATGACATTATATTATAAACATTAAAATAAGTAATTAATTAAATTATTAGAAATTTAATTGATTATAACATTACATTATTGTTAAATAACTACTTAAATAATTATAAGTATTTATAACATTATATTATAGTATGATCACTTAATTAATTATATCATTACATTATAATTTAATAATTATAATGTAATGTTTGAATGATTTTGATAAAATTATTTGATGTGAATTGTGATGAATAATTGTTTGTGTTTTGGTTTTGATTGACGAATTTTATGTGAATTGTGATAAATTGATTGAATTCAAGTGTTGCCTAGATATTACAGGTTATGAGTTATATTCGACACAAATGAATAAATAATCAAAATTTTTTAGGGGTGTATTTGTAAACTTTTAAAGTATTTTTGTCATTTTTTAAACTAATAAAGGGTAATTGATTTTTTATAGGGTACCCGGAAAAGGAACCGGAATCTGCATTTTAGGTTCCAGTTCCTTGAATTAAAAAACCTGTACTATACGGTTCCAGTTCTGGTTCTTTTTTTTGGGAAACTTGTACTGTGCGATTCCAGTTTCGATTTCCCTAGAAAGTGCAGGGTACTCAGAACCGCTCACCCCTAAATGTTTCAATTTTCTTTGAACACAAAGTTGCATAAAGATGGCTTAAAAGATTTTGCCGTGTATCCTCACCTCTAAAACTAAGGAAAACATGATGTTTTGTTTGAGAAGTTTTGGAAGAAGAAGAAGAAGTCATTAAGACACTTCACAGTTGATGAAAGATTCCTTAAAGAAGAGATAGTATTGAAGAACCCAACTCAAAATCAAGACTCTTTGCACCTATATTATTTTTGAGTCTTTACTTGAACAGTTTACTGTTTATAATAAATAAATAAATAATATCTCTCCCAACTCCCAGACACCATACATTTATCACCAACCAAAATCTATCACCTTAATTCTATAATATACAGAATTTTAAATATAATAGTTAAAAACACAAGGCTAAAAGTGTCAAACCGACGGAATTGTGGCGCCATCAACTCCTTTCCCCGCTTAGCGCGTCAAAAGACAACTGGGTCCCAACCAAATGCAATTTTCAAGAGGAGTTATGATGTGGTTTTGATACCAACCAGATTTCGTCTTGTTCAAAATTTCCGGATGCGTTTAGTTTAGTATTTTGGATAAGATTTTAAGGATAATATTGAGTTATTGGATAGGAGAGTATTACGAGATAAATTTTAAAAATTTATGAAAAAGCCCTTAGGTTTACTAATTTAACTAAAGACCCTAATATATAAAATGATAAAAACACCCCCACCACCTGCAGTGTCAGATTCTGGCCACCACCGCCAGAATCTGACCGGAAAATTTCGTTACAGCACAGACTGGTCGGATCTGTGCCGTAACACGTCGTTATGGCCTTTTCCAGCCAGATCCATGGTGGATCTGGTCGAAAAAGGCCAGATCTACGGTCTGTTATGGCCGTCGACGGCCGAAAAAGGCCAAACGAGGGCCATCTTTGGCCGTCAGCGACGGCCAAAGATGTGGCCGTCGTTTTCGATCAACGACGGCCATTTCTTTGGCCGTCAGATCTGGCATTTTCTGGCCAGATCCGTGGTGGATCTGGCCGGAAAAGGCTACAGCAGTGAACTTCCGGCCATTTCTGGTCGGAAGTTAGGCCGTTGTACAGATTCCGGCTATCACCGACGGTGGTTGCCGGAATCTGACAAGTTGGGTTGATGGGGGTGTTTTTGTTAATTTTTAAACTTTTTTTTCAGGAGGTATTTAGTGAAATTAATAACCTTATGGGGTTTAAATGAAATTAAAAAAAATAGGGTAGTATTTCTGGAATAATGTGCCAAACATTATTTGGAGAATAGGATCCAGAATAGGGATAAAAATATTAAGCCAAACATGCAGCAAAATATTTCTTCAATCATCTGCCACACCATGACTTCAATGATGTGTAACTAAACCAACCAGTCATTCTTTCTCTCAACCCTGTCTCTTATCAAATCTTGCTTCAAGTTTTTAACATTTCTGCCCTGTTCTGTACAGTTAAATAAATTATTTTGACCCCAATGGATACTTAAATATAGATGAAAAATGCTCTTGGTTTTGTGTCTCTATCTTTTTGGATTGGGATAAGGGATTAATGGCCACTGAGGTTTGGGTATCCACCATACATATCATGTTTGCCTCATTTTCATTTCTTTACCAAAAGAATAGTTCCACTTGAAGATGACAAAAGGGTAACAGACAACAATTATGAAGCTGGTTGATTCATCAATAATAAATTAAAATCTTGCAGGATTACGTTACCTCCTCAGAAAACCCTTAAACCAAAGTAGGATTAACTGGTTTTCATCCATAGACTATGTCGAGAGGATAACGTTACCCTTAGTAAGATAGAAAGGAGAACTAGTCCAACACACAAGAGAAACCAAGAGCTTTTTTTTTTTTAATTTTAAATTTATCATTCTACAAGAGTTTTTGAGATTGAATATTACTCGCATTAAGCCTATTGTCTCTCTTTCAGAGCAGTATTACTTGCTAGTTTACCTATACTTGTTCCGGCGATGTATCCTCCAGACCAAGCATTCTGTACAAACAAAAACTGAGATTAGAGAGCAATGGCTACAATGTGTTTGTATCTTAACACAAAATTTCCTCACCTGGAAATTGAAACCCCCAGTTACACCATCGACATTTAGTACCTGCATAAAAAAATCAATTTCATTTAGACATATACAAAGACACTCGCTTATTTATCTAAGCTCTAGGGTTATGAATTCAATGCTACAAGGTGGAATCATCGTGTTATTTTGTTAATAAAGGAGAAGTTAACAAATGATAATTGGTATGGAACTATACCTCTCCGGCAAAGAATAAATTTGAACGTATTTTGCTTTCCATTGTGTTCAAAGAAACCTTCATAAAGGTAAGAAAAATGGAGTTACATTTCCAAAGCATACACGGAAGAGAGAGACAGGAAAAAATAAAAATGAGAGAGTACCTCAGACAATGGAACACCACCAGCAGTGACGAACTCATCCTTGAATTGGCCCTTTATCAGAAATAAATTTATATCATCGGAGAAACGCACAAAAACATTGAAGCGAATTAAATTTTTTTCAATAAGTAACGGCTGCTACCTTCCCAGTCACTTCAAATGTACAATGCTTTAGAAGATGAGCAATAGAAATTAGAGAGTTGTTTGAAATGGAAGCCCACAAGGTATCTCCACATAAACACTGCATATAAAAAGGAAAAATCAACATCCATAAGGGAGATTTAGCAAGCAGATGCCAAATATGTGGTCTTTCAATCTGGAATGGCGTTGATACCTCACGGTCTAATATATATTTCCAGAATCTTTTCACAAGGCTAAATTCTGAAGGACATGAATTGATCACCTTTTGCTTCTGTAGATAGTGATTAAAAGCAAGAAATTATCAATTCAAAAACAACTAAGCAGAATGCTATTATGAAGTATCCATGAATTTGGAAGCATATTGATGTCCCTGCATTACTGTCCCAGACCCAGAGAGATCAGTCTAAACACCAAAACTATCCTTGTTTGACTACAAGCTTACTTAAATTACCACATTTACTTGTTTATATGAAAATCCATATATAAAATGGGATTCTTCTTGAACTATCATAAATTTCAGCAGCAAGGCAGCAACAATAATACATCATTGCCTAATTAAGAAAATAATGGTACTGCTATCTAAGTTTGGAATAAGAGTTCAACGAGGACAAAGAATTACCACACACTGTTTCTTGTGTTTACTAAGAATTGACTTCATATCTTCTATATGTAAATCAGGTACAAAATCCACCATAAGTATCCCTGCATCCAATTGCAGCAAGTTCAGAAGCTAAAGAATATAAATGTTATAGTCATAGAAAAAATAGTTATCTTTACCTTTGTAACCTGAACTGAACAGGTCACGGGCACCCCAAGCAGATAGCCGAAGAATTACTGGCCCACTAAGTCCCCAATGTGTGACTAACATGGGGCCAACCTAAATTTGCAAGATTTTAGCTTAAGTCCAGTACACTATTAAGAATATATATAAAAGCAATGAGAAAAACTTGCCTGTGTAAGATGTGGACTATTCTTTTGCACATTTTCTAATTTAAGTTTTGCTATGACCTTTTCGAACGTGACCTAACCATAAAAAAGAAAAGTGATGGAACAAGATGGGGAGAACAATAACCATTAAGTATTATTCGTTTCAGCTTTTATCATTACATTACCCCTGCTAACAAAATTACAAATAGGTAAGTCGAGGATTCAACTTGTTAGAAGGACAATACATTACCCCAGACAACTCTGTTAATTGTGAATCTACAACTTTGAAAGTGAATAAGCTAGGTACTGGATCTACAATTGAATGACCTAGCTGAGCTGCAAGACTATGACCCTGTAATAAGAACAATGGAGATTTATTAAGAAATTCAAATGCCTCTACTAGAATTGGAAAAGCAACATTTGTTGAATGAACCTGCTTACTACTTCCACTAGCAATTAATAGATAATCAGCTTCAATAGATTCAACCAAGTTGATTGTACGCTTCTCAACCTTGAGAAGGAACTTTCCACCAGCATTAGCAGATGCAGTTGTTACAACTTTTCCAGTCTGCAGAGAAACTGATGGAGGAACTGATAGAGAAAGCAATTCGACAATATAAAGACAGGGCTCAACTTAATGGCTGATCAAACATACCTCGCTGACACTTTGCTTCAGACAAGAGACAATCAATTACCGAAGAAGAACTGTTACTGACAGGAAACACCCTTCCATCATCCTCAGTCTATGACAAGATAAAAACAAACCATAAGGAAAAAATAAAGAAAGAAATCAAAGACATGCAGTTTGAAAACTGACCTTCAGTTCCACCCCATGATCAGAAAACCAGGACATGGTATCCAACGGCCCATGCACATTAAAGAAAGATCCTCTAAATTCTTTATGACCTCTAGGATAGTGCCCTGCAAAAATCTGCAAAGGTCTTAATGATTCTGAGGTCTAAACATCATGTGATACAAAAGACAGTTGATGTACCATTGACTACTGGAATAAATTTCTGTATTTACAAAGTCTAATAAACAATTCTCCTTAACTGAACTTCATTCAGATAACGGCCTAACCATCATTTTCAAATTTAATAAAATATCAGAATGTAAAGAGTTTACATAAATCAAGTGTATTGACCAAGTAGATGGAACTGGCATCTATACATCATTTTCAAGTACATCTACTACTCTTTACTCCAACATCCAGACAAAATCATAAAGTCATCCATACCAAACTAACCCTTCCAAAACATGCTTAAATTTAATCACCCATCAAATAACCAGCTAATTCCAACATGAGCTACAACATTCAAAACAATTCTCACCTTATTATCAGCACAATGACCATTTGTCACATTGCACCTGCCTCCCCCAGAAATTTTCACCTGCCACCGCCAACAACATAAACTTTTCATTAGACACTCAATAAATCAAAACCCACCAATCAGGTAAACTTCTGCATCAACATTTACACTAAAAACTAAAAGAAAACACCTTTGATAGAGGCTTCCCCTTCTCTATGACAAGAATATTAAGCTTAGGTGCAACAGTCTTGGCTCTAACGGCTCCATAAATTCCAGCTGCTCCTCCACCAACAACCACCAACACCTCTTCACCAGACTGCCCATCAAACTGAGACAGCATTAAAAATTCCATCTTCATAACAAAAACCAACCAAACTGCTTGCATATACAAATACAAGTTAAATAACTCACTGTTTCACGTTCGGTGTTCAACGCAAAAGCAGAAAACTTTCTTTTCTGGGAGTGGGGGGTGAAAAGAAGGTAGCTGCTATAGTTTCTCCCGGTACTTGCAGTTTTGGAAAAGACTTCAGGGTTGAGTACTAACCGCGCCAAAGTGAAGTTCATGATTGCCCAATTGGATTTCCCTGTAGCGGGTAGATAGTTTTAAGGGAACCTACCCCGACTGACGAGACGACTAGACAGCTTATTCAGAAACCCACAAACGACGAGGCGTATCTCAACCCTTAACAAATATCACAAGCCGAGTTGCAATATTTTTAAAATTTTGCAAAATCGTCCTTAAAATTTACAAACTATATTTAATAAACTCGAGTTTCCTTTTTCTAAGAATAATGTCATTATATCTAAGGCTGAGCAGGTCCGGGTAACTGGCCGAGTAATGCTACCGTCACCGAAGGTTGCGCACCGAATATGTGTACCCAATGACGTGACAAAATCCTGACCGTTTATTCATTATCAGTTAATATTAATCAACGGTCAGGATTTTGTCACGTCATTCGGTGCACAGATTCAGTGCGCAACCTTCGGTGGCTCTATCATTTTCGGGCCACAAAATAAGGAATTGGAATCAAAACTGCATAATACTACTTCTTGAGTTTTAGAAACCAAAACCAAAACCGGTATTGTGCGGTTTCTAAACATTGGAACCGAAACAGTACCAAAACCAGAACCTACCGGTTCCCGGTACCCCATACTTTTCACGTAAATTACAAATATACCATGTACTGTTCATAAAAATTACAACTATACCCTATGCGGTTGGGTGAGGACTTTCGTCGAGTAGGTGGGGGGCAGTAAAAAATAAACCCAACCTCAACCAACTCCAGCAAACAAACCAGAGATTAGTGTTTCTGTAAGTGCTGAAGACATGAGAAAATCAACTGTGATCAAGAAAAAACAACTTGAACAACATTTGGAGATCAAGACTTGGTACCTCTGTTTTTCCTCTCATTGACCATACACGTTGACTTGTCAATTGTCATGTTGTTTATGTTCTGAATTTTGATGTGCCAGATGATAATTATTTTGTTTTTGGGTAAACCCAATAATTGCATAAAGGAATAAAAAAACACATCGTAAAAAAGGTAGGGGTGTTCAAAAGCGGTTAACTGAATCGGTTAACTGCTTCTCTAAACTAAACCGAATTTTTGGTTCGGGAAAATTCCCAAACCAGTTTTAGGGAAAACTGGTTAACCGTTTAAAAAAAAAAAAAGGGTTAACTAGTTTTGAACCGATTTTCTTTTTTTTTTTATAAAACCTTTTTTTTTTTTTTAATTTTGTCCTAAATTTAATTGTAAATATAGACAATACATTGAGAACTAAGAAAAAAAATTTGGGTTGGGATTTTAGATTGAGTGAATTAGAGATTTATTTTAGTTTAGGTTATTATTTATTTATTTAATATATATATATATTTGAAAAATCGGTTTTCGGTTAACCGTTTATAATTTCTTCAGAACCGAGAATTCGGTTTTTTGAATTTTTCGAACCGTTTTTTCGGTTAACCAGTTTTTCGGTTTGTTTACTGGTTTGATTCGATTCGGTTTTTGCATTTTTTTGAACATCCCTAAAAAAAAGGATTCCCCATGGGAGAAACCAAACACCTTGGACAGGCCCAAGGAAAAGAGGCCTGAAAACAAACAAAGGCTAAAAACTGAAACATAACCCAAAGGCCCAAACTCAGGCAAGCCCAAAAGAACAACCGAAAACAGCCCACAAAAAAAAAAAACTGAACAAAAAGCTTCCATACACCAACCCAACCGGCAGTGCCAAGCAGCACCCTCATCCCGATCCATTAACGACAAGGCTAAACAACAGCAGCCCATGAGAACAAGCCACAACCAAGAACCCATAAGAGCATCTTCATGGGATAGCACTCCTCGGCCCACGAACGACCAAAACTCACCAATCAACAAAGGAGGCCCACACCCAGCCGAAGCAAAACTAACTTTTGCTCTACTGGCCAAGGCCCCAAGGCGTCCAGCAAACTACTAACAAGCCAACAGGAAATCAGCATTCCATTTGAAGCAATCTGTTCCCAGATTTTGCTAGAATTGGTTGTGAGTGGATCAAATGAAGATTTTCCTTAAAAATTCAGATTTATGTTTGCATGTTAAATAGAGTCTGCCTTTTTTGCGTTTTGATGAGTTTTGAGCTAAATTTGAAGCTTGCTGAACTGGCTTTCCTTTCCATGCTTTTGGATAAATTTTTGGTTGGTTAATTTGAGGTTTAAAATGGAGTGTATTTTGCTTGCTAGCTGTACACCAATATGTAATTATTCAGGTTGCTATAGCATAACTAAATGATACTAAACCTTTTAGAATCATCTGCACTTCTCATTTACATCTTACTTTCTACTGATTCTATTGCCCTGTCGCAATGGCAGTTAAGACAGCTTCGCGACAAGTCCATGAGTAGATCAGAACTATGCCAGAGCCAGACATGCTGGAAATCCATGTTTTCTATGCGCTCTTCAGGATTCATTTGCTGTATCGCCTCTAGAGTTATGCATGAAGTAGCTTTTGTGCCAGTCCCTTCAAGAAAATTGCTGGTTAACTTTTTCTTCAATGAATGGGTGAGTAGATTGCAGACTTTTTCTACATCACCTTTCTCCTGAAGTGACATTAATTGATAGTTTCTGATTTAAAGTTGTCCTTTCTAGTTAAACTTAGAAGATCTTGTTGAAAGCGCGAATGCATATGAATTGAAACAACAACTTGTTGATGAAGTAATGAAGATTGCTGAAGAGCTGGAAGCTGAGAGGAATAGAAAGAATGAAGCTACACAAGAGGACCTTTCAGAGCACAATATGGACAAATGAGGATTAATATTTGAACAGGCCTCAACATGGTGAACTGTTTGTTGAATCAATTTGTTTTGAAATGAAATTACAAAAGCACTGCACATACAAAGCTTATAGATTAAAAGAAGATATTATATATATAGCTTATACAATAGAAATTACAATACAATTTCAGACTCATTCTATTTCTCTAATGCCATGCAAAAGCAAGATGAAACCCAAACAAACATACATCATATGTTACAAATTAATACTATGCTAGCTGAAGATCCCCAGCTGGCTATCTACTTGAGATCCTTTGCCACTGGAAATAATTAATGCAACAATCAGTAAGTATATATTCATAAATTAACTGAGGATTAATAAATTAAAAAGCAACACTTAATTATACCTTCAGCTGTTGAAGGAACCACAACAACATGCATGGTGACATTATTTGGAGGAAGATGTAACTTGAGAGGATACAGCTTCCCATTCAATGGATTTCGCGAACAAACGACGATATCATCCAACCCTGTCTCTTCTTTTATAGATTGTTTCAATTCCTCCAGCCCAATTCCCTTAAATGTGAAATGAAGTTCTCTCTTTGATTCATCAACATTGCCATTTTCATCAGTTAAGTCATAAATAATATGTCTTCCCTCAGCTTTCAATGGTGAAGTTGCAAATAAATTAATAGTCTGCATACAGTTATATAAATCAAACATTACAAATTAGAGCATTTTTGCCCTCTGTTTCGGATTTTAAGAAATTATGGTGCTATTCGTTTATGATTTTTAGTAAAAGCACCTCAAATTACCTCGATTGTTGGAGACTTTAGCCAATAGGCGGTAGGAGAAATGGTTTCAGATGGTGCATTCTTCTCAAGAATTTTAACTGGACGCGTTGCCTGTGGCGGCGGGGTCGGCGACCGAAGAATCGTAGCTGGTTTCTGAATCTCTAACACATCTACATCCCATATAACCCATTCTTGTGTGGCAGTTCTATGTGGAATGTCATGCGTGACTGAGTTTCTCCACGGTGGTACGCCGCCGTTTGCCCTCAAATAATGGCCATACCGCGTCTTCAGCTTAACATGGACGCCTTCCCGAATGGGTTCCCATTCGAGAGACGAATCCAATCTTCTCGGAAGAGTTTGCAAGACTTTCTGCCCGGTGACTCCGAGTAAAAACGGCATGTTTGAAGCTGTTAAATATTTCCCATAACAGCTTTTTAAACGTACAACGTTTACGTTCGGAACAATCTCCACTTTCCATTTCGCATTCTGGCAGGCGCCATTACGGTCCTGGCAAACGTGTTCTTCATCTTCGTCAGCTAACAAGTACTTGTCGTGGTGGCTCTTGAAACGAACCGCTCTTGCTTTCTGGAAGATTTCCATGGCAGACTATATAATAAAAACAATAAAATCAAGATTGTTGAAAATGGAACTCAAAGTATGACAATAATGCAGGAAAGAAAAGAAATTAAATGATTGACAATTACCTAGATTTTGTTGAAATGGCAAGTTTTGTTAGTGGGAGAGGAAGAGAACATGAGGCAGCAAGCTATAGCTTGAGAGAAATTAAAGGAATCCACAGATTAATGGCTGAATTAGGGTAAAGAATTTGCTATTTTGGGTTAAAATAGAGAGTTATTTTCGTTATAATAGAGATTTAGATATATTTTGTTTATCATAGAACGATAATAATCTTCACATTCTTTGATTAATAAAATGTTTATCATTTTAAAAATAGGTTTATTTCATACATTTCTTATGGGATCATTTATTCTTAAGCCCACAACCTATATAAAATGAACTCTTTTAAAAAGAGTAAACGACTTTTTCCCACCCAAGGTTTGCCTTAATGACATTTTCTCATCCAATATTTATATTTCATTAATACTAAAAATACACTTCACTTTTTCAATCGGTATTCGATAAGTTACCAAGAGCCGGAGTAACAGGGTTTTTGTAGATTGTAGCCGGTGGATTAAATGGTGCTGCCCGATTGAATATTTATTGCGGAAAATCAGCTAAGAACAGCAAATCCTAGCTTTAAATGGCTGGGAATCAGCGAGAAATCTGGTATCAAAGTGGGAGAGATTTTGTAGAGAGAAGATTGAAGGTTTAAATGGTGGTGATGAAGAGAATTTTAGCCATTGGAATTTACTTTAGGTAGTAACAGAATATTATCTTTTGATGAGAAAGTGGTATTTTTAAACTTTTTAGGTGGAAATTGTCATTAAGGCAAACCTTTGGTAGGAAAATGTATGTTTACTCCTTTTAAAAACTATCAACCATCGAAATAGTTTAAAAAAATAAAGAGTATGTATAATATGGTTTTATTGGAAATTGAGAGTTGATGCTCACCATCTCTATTTATACAACATTGTAACAAATAATTTACAGTAGTACCTAAATAAAAGAATACTAACAGATAAATCTAAATCGGATCGATTAAAATGATTGGCTAGCATATCAATGAATGTAACATATTTGACACAAGAGAACTATGAACAATTAAGAGAAGGAAATTTTTTTTGAGGAAAAGGACATTAATATGACTGGTTGAAAGGTCCACCTTTTATCAAGCACAACAAGTTGATAATCAATGCATTAATTAATTTTTGAACCATCTAATAATTCTTAATCAAAACTAACATGTATTTGATTTGATAAATTAAGTTTGTACCTCTCTTTTAACTAAACTTCTTGCCGGTGATCCGTTTTCCGAATCTGTAAAAACCTGTGAACACGAATTCGAGTTCGAAGAAAAACTCCGATGACTAGAAGCATTAGTAGTAGTATCACAATCTAATAAAGAATGAAAATCCAGTAATATTTCCACCACATCAACGTCCCAAAGAACCCAATCTTGCGTTGCAGTTGTATTGGGAACATCATGTGTAACCGAGTTTCTCCATGGCGGCGTGCCTCCGTTCGCTCTCAAGAACTTCCCATATCGCGTTTGCAACTTAACGTGAAACCCGTCGGTAATCGGCTCCCATTCGATGCAAAAATCCCTCTCTGAAGTTGGAGTTGTCTGCAAGATTTTCTTACCTGTCCATCCGAGCAAGAATGGTTCATTTGAGGCTGTGAGGTACTTGTTGTATAAGCTTTTCAAGCGAATCAGGTGGCTGTCACCTGAAACAAACTCTACAGTCCAACGAGCTTCCCAAGAGGCACCGTTGCGGCTCTGCCAGACAGTGTGTTCGTCGTCATTGGCGGTGAGGTACTTGCCGAGGTGGCTGCGAAGTCTTACCGCTTTAGCTTTGTTGAAGAACTCCATGTAGCTAGGGTTTCTGAACTTGTTGAATATCCGTTGAGCTTGGTGGTGGTTTGTATGAATATGTGAAGAATCATGAAGATCCGGTGAAATGTTTTTGTCAATGAAAGACTTATAATTATTGACTTGACTTACAATTTATAAGGATGGTTGAAGTAGTTGTTGGTGATGAAGTGTAGAATGAAAGAGGTTTAATTATTATCATAGTTTTAAAATCCAAATCGGATCAACAGGTTCGATCAGGAAGTAGTCCCTAATCTGATCCACTGAATAGCTAAAATATGTTTTAGTCATTGGACCGGATTGACCAACGAGAACAGTGTCGAACCATGGTTCAACCACTAAGTCAGATAAAGAATACATGTTCCTATTAGTTATTAGAATTTTAAAATTTTATCATATCATGCTAACGTTAGTATGATATCATCAGTCCAACCTGCTAGTCGAACTGTTCAACTTGGGGACTAGCCACTTGATCGGGTCAAGACTTAATCTGAGTATAAAAACATTGATTATTATCAATTAGTTTTCTTAATTATCTCCAAATTGTCCGTTTAAAATTATCAAGTTGTTAGGTAGGGGAATTAAATTGCATACATAAATATGAGAGTACTATGCTTCTTCATATATAATTGTCAAGGAAGACTTGAGTGAGTTGACTTAGAAGAAGAATAGCTGGTGGGAAACTGAGTTTCTGGTGACTGTAGAGGATGAATGAAATAACATGAAGGTTCAATCAACCATTGTTCAAGGACTCGATCGGTGCTCTTGTGGCCAAGTCAAAGTGACTAGGTCTCGCAAGTCCCTTGCAATGAGCAGACCAACGCAATATATAAGACCAAATAAATATATTCAGAGGTGGGAAATTAAATTAGTTAATGTATTTACAATAGCTGAGTAAATAGTGAGATCTAGAATGGTTGAATTTGAATCAACTCGAATATATATATATATATATTACTTATCCCAGAACATATCCCAAAAATTACATCATAAATGTTAAATGATGTATTATCCTATGTGACATTGTTATAGCATTTAACATATTATTAATTTATTTATATGTTAAGACCACATATTGATGTAGGTCCTTGTAGACGTAAAAATCTACCTGTACGGAAGGAGGGTCTGATCCCGTGAGGTTGAGGCTACCAGCGATCCGCTGCACCTGCACATGTAGAGAAACAAACATGAAGCGACGGAAAACACCGGGGTGGTGTTTGCCGTAGGCACTCTGATGCTCAAGTCAGCAAGGCTGAAAGAGGCTAATTTAGTAAGGGCTAGGGAGTAGAGAGGTTACCAGAAGTCTAGTCGGGGACTGTGACTATGGCGGCGATATGAAGTTCTCAAGTAGGAACTTCGGGTGTGAAGGTGTAGTGTAATGTCCCCTGTGAGAGGGCTGACCTCTGTTTATATAGTGACTGTCTAGTCTCCCAATCCGGGTGGGATTGGGAGTTCTCGTAGCAATCCCTTTCCTCCAGGGATACGCCCTTTGATCCCCTTATCCTGGCGTGAGAGGGAATCCTCATGTGACTTTGACATGGACCCTAGAGGGATTAGGGCGGTGGTGAGCTATCTTACCAGTGTCCGAACAGGAAAGTGATCTCGAACAGGAAAGTAATCTTGAATAGGAAAGTGATTTGTTGATGTCCGACTGGTGTTAGTGTAGCTGTCCCGAGTGCTGTCGGTCTGAGTGGTTCAGGCAGGCATGGGAGAAGTAGGGAAGACTCCGAAGGGGTCGGTAGTCCATTGTCTTCTAGTAGCAGTTCTGAGGAAGAGCCGAGCCAACAGGGCAGCGGTATCTTAACTAGGGATTATCCGCCCATCCTTAAGGACAACGATGTGTGGCGCATCCAGACTATGTATCATATTCGGAGTTCGGTTGACATCCGTATGCCACAGTAGTACGAGCGGGTTGATTGGGAGGCAAAAGGCTAGGTGAGTGTTTATGAGAAGTGGTTCCACGATGGGTTGAAGTTGCCTATTCCTCGCCTCGTCTGGGAAGTGCTGAACCACTTCATGATTGCCCCATCTTAGATCATTCCGAACGGTTGGAGGTTACTCATGGCCTTGGAGGACCTCTGTGTGCGAAACCAGGTGATATTTGGGCTGCATGAGCTGTTGTATTCGTACTTTCTGAAGGAGAACGACAAAGAAAAAGGTCGATATCTGATAAATCTAAGGCATGATCTATCTTATTTGGTGACCGACCTCAGGTCCAGTGATAAGAACTGGAAGGATCGGTACTTCTTTGTGAGGGGTCAGGCTGTCTTTGGGGAGAGAGGCCAAGGCAATATCCCGAGCAGTTGGCGAGCCACTGGTGAGAACTTTGTCTCTCTTTTGTACTTTGATTACTAAATCTTATTGTGTTTTTTGCTTGCAAAGCTTGAGTACAATCGAGCCGGGCAGAGCGAAGACGGCTTGGACGTGGTGACCCAGAAGATGCTAGCCATTCCGAAGGTGCAGAGGGATTGGCGAGTAGTATTGGCAGAGTCCAACCTCAGGACCAGCCATCTTTGGGCCAGAATAGAGGTGATTCAGCAAGGTATTCCCTTTCCTTCGTTGAGGCAGACTTGAGACATGCTTCTGGCTCGGTACTGTAATTATATCATTTATGGTGAGTTAAGACTGAACCCACTAACTGCTAGAGAGTTTGCGCTTGCAAAGGCACTGATAAAGAAGTTGATCGTCCCTAGTGCGAGCGAGTCCATCGCCCGTCGTCGGGAGAAGAAGAGGAGAGAATCCTCGGCCAGAGAGGATAGGAGAGCGGAGGATATGTTGGCGACACCGCCGAGTCAATAGCCCGAAGCCGGAGCTGGGTCATCCCAGACCACAGTCTTGGATGAGGAGACCAAGACGATTACTTTCAAGATTCCGGCTACCGCATCGACCTATTCTGATGCGGCTTCCATGAGCAAGCTGGCCGACTCATTCTTATTCCCAGTGGATAAGGCACGTTTGAACCAGATGGATGCAGTTGCTGCTGCTGATTGGGGGGTATCCCGCGTTTTTTAGGTATTGCAGGAGTTTCGTTTTATTCTGTTCCTAACTTTCATACTGATGACAATGTTTTGTTGAGCAGGCATTCACGAGCAGTCTTCATTTGAGGAAGTCTGTGGTGGCGCAGGAAAAGAGGATACAAGATGTGTCCAAGGCAAACACTAGTTTGCGCTAGAGAGAGGCGGCAGCCTAGAAGGCCAGGCAAGAGAGTCAGTAGCATTTGAGGGACGTTGAGCGTGAACTGGAGACTGAGGGGTGAGTTGGCCGAGAAGACTGCAGAGGTTGAGTCCCTCAAGAAGCAGTGCCTTTTTATTACAGATGATGCTATTATTAAGGCCCGGGGAGAGCTCATGCTCGAGTATAAAGTCGGGAACACTTCCCACTGGAATCCGGATAAAGACATCCAGCTTATGCATGAGATGTTGGAGGAGGGAGCTGAGCATACGGAGGAGCATATTGATAAGCAGATGCTCGATTTTGCTAATCGGTTGGGACCGTCAGTTATTGGGGATGTGAGCAACCAGGCTGCAGGGACGGGTACTGATGCTAGCGATGGAGTGACCGAGTCATAGATGGGAGAGATGACTCGCATTGACAACACTTAGCTTTATTTCTGTTTGCTCATGTATTTTGGAGTCTGCGATGCCCTTTTTCTTGGCGTGTGTGCCTTTTATTGAACTCTGAACCGGGCTGTTTGAGGCTATATGTATTATACTTGCCGTTCTAACTTGTGATGCTTTCTTGATGGATGAATTGAGTTGTTCATTGCTTCTTTACTTGTGGATGTACTAGGGTTGAGCTCTCATGTAGTGTTTGTGATTCTAGTGCTGCCCAGTGGCTAAGACATGTGGGCCTTTAATTGGGCTGAATCGATGTTTTGCCAACTAAGGGTGTAAGAAACCTTTTGCTCGGTCTGGCCGATTAAGTGTGTAGCTTCGTGGATCGAGCGGGGTCAATCCGAAGGTGTGAATTTTTGGATCGAGCAGGGCTGATCCAAAGATGTGGTTTCGTGAATCGAACAGGTTGATTCAAAGGTGTAGTTCCATGGATCGGACAGGGCCGATCCAAAGGTGTAAATTAGTGTCATGGATTGGGCGGGGCTGATCCGATAGTGTAAATTCATGTTGTGGATCAGGCAGGGCCGATCCAATGGTGCAAGTTCATGTTATGGATCGGGCAAGGTCGATCCGATGGTGTAAGTTGGCATCGTGGATCAGGCGAGGTCGATCTAATGGTGACAATTTGTGTCGTGGATCGGACAGGGCTGATTCGAAGGTGTAAATTCGTGTCGTGGATCGAGCAGGGCCGATCAAAAGGTGTAAATTTGTGTTGTAGATCAGGCAGGGCCGATTCAAAGGTGTAAATTAGCATCGTGGATTGGGCGGAGCCGATCCGATGGTGTAAATTCGTGTCGTGGATTGGGCAGCCAATCCGATGGTGTAAATTAGAGTCGTGGATCGGGCGGGGCTGATCCGATGGTGTGGATTCGTGTCGTGGATTGGGCAAGGCCAATTCGAAGGTGTAAATTCGTGTCATAGATCGGGCATAGCCGATCCGAATGTGTAAAGTAGTGTCGTGGATTGGGCAGGGGCGATCCGATGTTGTAACAAACAATTGATCGAACAGGGTCAATCTAAACATGAAAATTTTCTGAATAATACTTCATTAAATTGGGCCATAAGGCCGACTATCTATAAGAGGGTGGATAGGCCCATTCTTTCTAAATAAAAACAAAGGAAAACAGACAGAAATGACAAATTCACCTAAAAGTACTATTGCTTGAGGTGAACGACATTCCAGCTATTGCCGATGTCTTTGCCCTCGGGGGTTTGGAGTTTGTAAGCACCCTTCCATGCTTCTTTGGTAATCTTGTAAGGATTTTCCCAGGTGAGGCCGAGTTTACCAGAGTTGATCTCCTTTGTGTTTTGGAAGACCTTGCGGATGACCTAGTAGCCTATCTTGAAAGTTCGGATCCTCACATTGCGGTTGTAGTGTCAGGCGGCCTGTTGCTAATAGACTGCGTTACAGATACTCGCCCGTTCCCGTATCTCATCGACGGTGTCCAAGTTCTG